ACAGCAATGGCATAACCCTGTGCATCAGCACAACTTTGTTCTACTCTCATCAGAGAAAGGAGGCTGGGGAGGAGCTGTGACAGGAGGCAGGAGGGTGTAACAGGCTGCACTGCTACACCACAGCCCGCGTGTGCTTCTTAGCCCATCAAGCCTCCAGCAGCTGCCTGCCTGTGCAACAGCTCTTGCCATTGTATGAGCACCTTGCAGCATGTCCACTTGCCAAAGTGTGTGTATTAATTCCCTTTCTTGGTATTGGTAACGATTGCTGTAGTGTTTGCAATGTTAGAAACTAAAAGGCTTGCTCAGAAGAGTTTTGAAAAACAACCCTGAATGCACATTTTAAAAGTGTGGTGCTCTAGAGGATTTGTGTGGACGTTTCTAGCTCTTTCCCTATAGTGTAAAAGCAAAAGTAAAAAAAAAAAAAAAATAAACAAAATGACACCTCCCTTGTCTAGGTTCCAATACAGAAATAAAACCAACAGCTCAGCTTGCCTGACACACAGGCAAGAGTCAGATAATCCTGTCCAGTTTATTCTCCACTCAGGGGCAATTTGTTCCTTTTAAAGCCCCTTAACAGCATTTTGCCAAAGCTCCCATCAGGGAAATTGTGATGTGAGCTGTACAAATACTTACTCAGCCATCCTGCTTCCCAAAGAGCTTATTGTTCCCCCAACTCCTCTGCCAGCACAAAGCACAGCCATGTGGTACTTCGGTGACCAGCATCAATGTTAACACTGAGATTATACCAAAAGGTTTTGCTTCCGGATCGTTCCTCTTGCTAAGAAGCCCAAAGAGCTCGCAAGCGCGCTCCAGTCCGTTACAATCAAAAATAGCCCAAAATGAAACCAGTTTCTGGGGAATGCAGTATTACCTAAAAACTGCGCTGTGAGGCCCCAGCGAGGATCGAACTCGCGACCCCTGGTTTACAAGACCAGTGCTCTAACCACTGAGCTATGGAGCCACCGCTCACGGGTTCTCCCGACTGTCACTAAGGGGCAGTCACGCAGCCCTCCCGCCACCCCCAGAGAGGCTGTGTCCCCGCTCCTCGCCGGAAGGGGCTCGCCCTGAGACCGGTGTAGCAGCCGGTGTCGAGGGGAGCCCGCGACTCACCGCGCACTGTCCGGGGCCCGCCGAGGGGCGGGCGGGGAGGCCGCAGCTGCCTTACCGCTCCTGCCATCGCTGGCTGGTCGCTTATCGCGCTGCCAGCTGGTCAGCGCTGCGGCTGCGTGCGGAGCGTCCAGGCCGCAGAACGGTGCCTGGGACGTTCGCAAAACCAGGAAATGAAACTGGTCGGGAGGCCACGCATCCAGTCAAGCAAAAAACCCGCAAGAGGAGAAATCAAAAATAGGCGAATATCTGAAATACGGCCTGATTTTTACAGATCAGGAGTAAAAATTGTCACGACAAAGCCATGTAAGGTGGTGCAGGGTGTTCTTTCTGCAAAAGGTTGGGTAGTCTGGTGAAGTCTGAGAGCCGCTGCTGCAGCACAGATGTATTGCCCCGGGGGGTCCTCGAGCATCACTTCCTTCGTGACACCTCTCAGCACTAAGCATTAATCTTAGGGTTTCTAGCATGTTCTCTCACCAGGTACCTGCAAGCCACGTTCACACAGGCTCTGTGGAGGTCAGAGCTAGAAGCTGGAAGCTTCAGGTAATAGCTAATGGGTGGAAGGCAGCAATGCTGTAAGGCCTGTTCAGGAGTAGGGCCCATTCAGTGCTGATGCTGGGTACAATCACTTTTAACAGCACACATTAAAGCAGATGCCTTGCAAAGAGCTTTGACAGCTTACGGCTGGACTGAAGATTTTTGTGTGTGTAAGCTGCATGCAGATAAAATTATTTAAATTCCAGTTGTATGCCTTTCAGAAAGCAATATTCAGGGCCCTGTCTTGATTCTATAGTAATATATATTTATGTAGAATTCAGAGTTGGATCAGTGGGTGGGAAAGGGATGCAATGGGATGGCTCATAAACCTGACTCAGCTTGGAGAAGTTTTATAAAGAATGTTACACAATGGAATTAAGTCCACAGCAGGATTGGGGTCTGGAGTTACTACATGCCCATCTGTGAACTCAGGAAAGTCAGTGGAATCCCAACTGGAGGCTGTCGTGTAAGTGCATCAATGCACAAGAAGTCCAGAACATATTTAAGCATTATTAAAAAAAAACCAAACACGCAAACACCCATAAAGCCCACAACAACACGTTATGAAAACTTGTTAGATGTTACCATATTGCTCTCTTAAACCTCTGTTGTGTTCTGCTACTACACATCACTGCTAAGGGAGAACAAACAGAAGAGATTTCAGCAAGTCCTGATGGGAGTGGACCTATCACCCCTAGGCAAGAGCTGCCCCAGATTCCCAATATAGGACAAAGAGACCCTCTTCGGACAAGAATAATTGTGCTGGGTTTAGTACTTAATGCCCTTACATCCTTAAGAAAGTCATCAAAAACTAATAGGCACTTCTGCTGATTAAATTAACCTTGGAAAAGCAGACAATTGTGCACTGAAAACAGCAACACAGAATGCAGCTGATTGTTTCAGAGCTGGGACTCACAAGGACAGGATTGCACAAAACCTGTGTGAGAGCTGGCAGCTTAACTGAGGCAGCTGGCACTTACCTTCTCATTTCAACGGGGGCTGACAGCTGGAGTGAAAGATGTTGCTGCAAACAGCCAAAGAAACACCTCAGCTATGGTACTTGAGAACAAAACGGAAAGTGGCAGCATCTATAAATGGGAGGAGTAAAGTATATTATGCATTCTTCAGTGGGAGCATTATCAAAAAAACCCAAGCCCCACAATAATAATTAGACATAAATTATTACCTCTCTTACCATTGTCTTAAATGGCTGAAGGGTTTGAAAGCTTGGCTTTTTCTGTTCTTGCTCTCTTTTTGTTCTAGGCTTATAATTTACAGCAATAAAACAGGATTGACTGGTTTTCATTTGGTTCTGGAAGACTTGTCAAAACTCCATAGCAGGAATACTGAATCTTGATCAAGCAGTTATTTAGTCCAAAAATGAGTGGCAAGGTCAGGGATGTCTGAATTCAAGACAGTTCTCAAAGTGGAGTTAATTGTGCTTTAAAATTTTTATGTGCTGCCACTTTGTTGCTATGTTCACAACACTTCAGGGAATGTACAGATTATCTCTGAAAACCCCTCTGATTACCATGGAAAAAAGAATCAACAACTAAACCAATTCCTGCCAGTACTCTTCTATCCCTCTAAACTGCTCTATTTTATCTTCTTACCCCAAACACATTAATATCTACTTGGAAATATTCCTTTAAATGCATATTCTTATTTCACCTCAGTATTACGGAGTATCTCATCTTTTTATAAGAGGGTGATTCTTTGCATGTGAAGTCTAAAAATGCTTGTCTTACTTAAGCTACCAGAATCTATTACTGCAGTAATCACTCCCTCACTAGGTGTACCTCACTGCCTGAGCTGGGAAACCCTCCACTTCTCCAGTGCATAGGTATTGACAAAGCTAGTCCTTCAAATACATTTTTAATAACCTTTTTATATGGTGCTATATCACTGAAAGTTCACTGCATTTATTTTTGTCAGTTCAGAAGGCTGGGGTTTCATATGAAAGGATTGGAAAGATTTTTCTGTTAGCGCTCTTCATTTTAAGGGCCCAAAAACATTAATGCTGTGAACATTAATATTCTGGCCTGATAAGTAATCTGGTTCTGTGCATATTGCAGCTGGGCTAATGAGAGAAATCAGAAAAGTAGCTTTGTGGATTGGGAGCTTGGCCAAATTGCAGGGCCAAGCTCCCAATCCTACAGTCGATGATTTCTCCCTCTTTCATTTTTTTAATGTCACCATACCAGAGCAGTGGCATAGGCTGCCTTTCATGTTACCTGAGACATCAAAGGGAAGTACTGAGGACCTGCCTATTTACTGTTTTCCACTGACACTCACGCCTAATGAGTACAACATGCTGCAGAAACAGCATCCCTGTGCACAAGTGTCACTCTAGCCTTTATTGCATCAGAGGTTCTAGATTACAGCTTTCAAGCGCTTAGAAGCTTTGAGCCTAAGTCTGTTCACATCTAGCAACATGGTGACATGCGCATGTCTTGGACCATGAACTGGTCCTGCTCCTGAGCTCACCAGGTGATGGCATCCATTAGGACCCATAACAGGAGGCTGTGGGGGGGGCAGCAGTGCCTGGCAGTATATTCCTCCATTACGTTGCACCCAGCTGCTTTGTTTCCCATGGCATGTTAGGGGAGAAGCTGCTGCCCAAACAGTCACACACCATTCAAGTTGTTGCATACACACCACCTGAGACTTTAATTGCTGGAACAGGAGTTCCTCTGCAGCAGGTGGCTCCAGTGAACTGACAGATGCCACTTTTGACTCCTGGCTCACACACACACACTCTTAGGCACTCTTCTTCCTTCCTTCCTCAGGCTCGACCCTTGGTTTCCCACAGCAGGGTCTCAGGCATTCAGTTCCATGGAAAAATAATTAAATAATTTAGTGGTACAGCAAAAGGCACAGCTCAAGCTGGAGAGGGACCTTGGCAAAGAAATCCCTGGGCAATAATACCCTTATTTATGCACTTGCCCCTCATTTTAGCCCAAAGGGAATTTTTTGGTCTAGGGTATTCTAACACCTTACTGGATTTTTTCAGTGTTTTCCTGCCAGCAGGCTGTTAACTGTTCTTATCTTGTTGAGCTGCAGTTTCTGCTGATGGTTGTAGCCTCCTTCTGGTTTGTGCCTCTTGTGCACCTGCTTGTCAGCAGAGCATGGGACACTGAAAAAGTCCTAGACCTAAAATAAACATTACGTAGCAACAACTAAAACATCAATGTGTTATCAACATTCTTCTCATGCTAAAGACAAAACACAGCACTGTAACAGCTTCTAGGAGAATTACTAAAATCTAACTCTATTCCAACCAAAAGCATATCTAGGTGAAAGCCCACAGCTTAGCGCCCAAAGCTTCAGAAATCTAGCTACTCATGCTAAGCAAGTAAAGCTAAGCAAATAGCACACTAGACCACACAATACTGTAACTCTGACTCAGACTATTTAAAACTTACTTGTTTAAGCTAAATAATATCTCTCAACAAGCAAAATCTCCAGTACTGGGCAAGTGAGGTGCCAGAGCAGAAGGTTCCTGCTGGAGCCATGATACAAATGTCTGAACAGTAAGCTTCCTGGCAACGAGGAGGAGACCAAGTCCAAAGGGGGAAGTTCGCAGGGTCAGCACGTGAAGCTTCAAAGATCTGGCCTGGCCAGTTGCCTAAATTCCCACTAAATTAAGGGAAGAACCACCTCTTAAGTGGTAAGTTGCATGGTCACATCTCCGAAACTTTGTGTACTTCAGGAGCCATCAGTGACTCCTGAAGTGACTGAGAATCTTGCTGAGGAAATGAGCCAAGGAATAAATAAATTTGTTCTGCACATTTGCAATGCTCTTGCCAATGGGTCTCTGGGTTGGGGTGAGGTCCTTGGAACAGGACAGGCCTCCTCTCTGAACTAACAGAGGATTTTGACATCCTTCATGTCTTTCGAGAGCATGAAATTTACTTGCCAGCCATCTAATTAATCTATTTATTCAAGTACCAGGGTAAAATTTCATTCTCTCACATTATACAGCTATAAAGACCACCTGTGTTTTCACTGTGCCAATCTGTTTCCTGAGTGAAGAAGGAATTCCCCAAGAATGGACCAAGTGGACTTTGCTTCCACCAAAACGACTGTCAAAGTCTCTTTGTTTCCCATCACAATAAAAAAAGTCCATTTGCATTTCCCTCTTTTTGATACCTTCTGTATTTACTTCCATCGCTGGTTTATATTTTCGTTAGGAGGGTAGGGCAGGAGGGCTGCTCACTGGGCAGCCCTGTTTTGTATATAAAATAACACTGTAGCAAATGAAAATATCAAAGTGAGTTGTTGGAGTTTTTTTAACAGGCAGGCCGATAGGAAATGATTTCCCCATGGGACAGAGCTAGAGGCCAGAGTGAACTTTCCACACCATTTCATAGCTATCCAGGCTAAGAACAGGCATCAAGCTACAGCAAGGTTCAACAGGTAATTTTCTCTGATACAAAGTGCATGCTGCTTATGCCATTAAACCACATCAATGCAATGCAGTCAGTATTACCCTAACTTGCCAAACTGCATTAACCATAATGGTTTCTCTCCAAGACTGTAAGGTGATGCGTTTGGAATAATAGCTGCATAAGGCTGCTGGGAAGTCTGACTGAGTGTTAGCATCTTTGCAAAGGCTCGAGTCCTTCAGCCTTCTTGAAACAGGAAAAAAAAATCTCCCTGTGAACAAGCAATCTGATATTCATATAAAATACCATATTACCATAATTTTTATTTTGCACAGTGTGAAGGAGTAGAAGCAACTCACTCTGCCATTCCTATGGAAATGTCACTGGGCATTATCAGAAGACCAAGAAAGTACAACTATCTCTTTGAGAGCCCTGAGAGCTCTCAAAGGCCCATTTCAGTTTATACGGAGTTTCAATGTAGCCAGTATATTTCATCGCAAGCCATATGATCTCTCCAAATCCCTCAGTTACTTTCACTATTTGGGGCGGGGGGGGGGGGGGGGGAAGGAGGGGGGGCGGTAGAGATTAGCCCGTGTTCTATTTCTTTGATTTCAGCTGAATCCTCTGGAAAGCAGAACATCACTGTCCTGGGTTCAGCAGTTGCATCTCAGTTTTGGTTGGGAAAAATACTTCAAGTGTTCACGTGGGGCATCCACTGAAACTTCAAGCAGTCTCCTGCTCCTTCTTGCTTACTGTCAGTAGCAATACCTACTGTAAATTAAAACTCCACCAACTCAATTCAAACAGGCTGCAAGAGTGATGACTTCATGATCACCAAGTTGAGCTGCACCTCAAATCTGATAGTCAATAGTTCTGCACTCTGTGGTCAGGAACCCCAGTTCTATTTTCATGAGCTACTGAGAGGTGGAGAGGTCAGGGCCAAGAAATACCATGGCAGCCCAACCTCGGTGGTTAATCTCAGAGTTAACCCCAATGTGAAATTTGCAGATGGAAATAGGTAGCATTTTTCTGTCTGTACTTAGAAATGAGACACATGGTCCCAGCACTTTCTTAATTACAGTGAAGAGTTTGTGAACTTCAGTAGCCTTCCAGCTGGAATTCTGTCTAACAGAAATCTCAGTTTCAAATATCTAGTTATGGTAGTGAAAAAAAAGAGGCTCTAAGCCAGAAATTAATTGTTTGATGTGGAAAGATCTGGCTTTTTAATTAAAAAAAAAAAAAAAGAAAAAAAAAAAGACTTCTTTGCAAATAACAAGTCCAGCTTCTAAAGTAGATACATTTATGTTTCCAAATATGGGTGGGGAAGTGCTTTTAAAATTGGCACCCGGACATGCCAATTTTATCATTATAACTTTCTTAATGTACTTTTTAAGACCGTGTACTCATTATACCAATTGCCTGGTTTATATCACAGTGGTAGTACTGAGCCTTGAAATGGAGCTCTTTGGGGACTCTCAATATGCTGGTGCTTTTCACATATTATATTATCATTATTTATTTACACAAATGACAAAAAGATCTATGCATTTATATCACAATGATTTGAATTCTTGTGGAAGAAAAGTATGTCTGATGAAATATCATCATCACACCTCCTGGCAGTATCTTCAGTGTGTTATTAAGGACTATTCTGTCAAAATGTCAAGTTTCTTGTTTTGAAAAAATCTCAAAAAATTAATTTAAAATTACAGAATGAAGTGGCTTGGAGGAGCTGTTAAGCATTGTACAGTACATAAAATCAGTCTGTTTCTAATATGGCTGAAAGTCATATTTTAGAAAGCATTTATTATATGAACTATTTAGATAATGAAAGTAAAGAAAATCTAATTTAATTTTCATCATTTATGCAGTTTGTTTGCTTTTTCATTTAATTCTGCTTGGACAATGAAAGCAGACCGCTTTTGTTCCTTGGCAATGTCAGTTTTCTGGTTGTCATTCACTTGCCAAGGCTGCAGTGATTTGGTTTCAGACACCTCAGGGGAAAAGGTCGAATCCTCTTTTCAGTGGAGGGGTGAGCAGGGGAATTCTTGAAAACACATATAGGTAATTTAGTCAGATCAGAGCCTGCCTGTGACTGCATTGATGACAGACAAACAGCACATACAGACTGTACTGAGAAGTTTTGGGTCACACATTCCAATCTTCAAAAGTCAGTGCAAGACCCACCAGAAAGTGCAGCCGTAAGCCATTCCCTTCCCACACTCACAGACAGGAGGCAGTACTTGGGTTTGGTTTAGTTCCAGGAGCACCTGGGTTTTGCTCAGGTTCCAGGACACAGGGAGCTGACACAGGGAGCTGAACTGCCAGTTTGGGTCCCAACAAGGCAAGCTCAATTGGTTCATCTCAGTGTCTGGTTCTGCCCTGTTTAGCATGGCAAGCAGAGCTTGGTGTAAGTGAAGTTGCCTCTGGAGAACAAGAAGGTGATCCACAGCTGTAAGGAGAGGTTTTTCAAAGGTGTTTTAAGACCTAACTCCAACCAGTGGGATGCAGGCCACTGTCCAAGTTAGAAGTCTACTTACCTGTGACAATCTGGGCATTAGTTCTTGGAAGACAGTTAAGCACATGCCTCTCATTTTTACAGTTTCTGTTAACTGGAGTAAAAGTCCAGATTCAAAGGTCCCTGTCCTTCAGTGAAACAGAGCTAGACTTTATCTCAGTAATGGGGTGAAGCTGGATCCGACATGCTCTAGTTTCCAGGGGGTCTGGGTTCAAATTGTCTGGTTTCAGTACTTCTTTTTTTTTATATATATATTTTTAATTCTAAATCCCTGAGATCTTCCAGTGGGGTAAAAGTCTAACTCAGTAGGATCTGTTTTCAAGTCCTGCAATTTCTGAGTACAGGAGGGATTACGGCTAGGATAATCTTTCAGTTTACAATCCTTCCTCTTGGAGTTGTTAGGATTGTAACAAGGAGATTTTATTATGGTTTAATAATAAATATCCTCAGTCAGCCAAGGCTGTTATAAGAACCTGATTTCTTGCAGATTCTTATACACTAGGGGGTGCAAACATCCTTTTAATGAGCCTAGAAATAAATGGTCTTACCAGTACCAGCAAGGAAAGTGTCTGGTCCTGTACTAAGGCTTATGTGGAAAATATCTCATTTCCTAAGTCATGTTTGGCTCATAGAAATGAATAAATAAGAGCACTGCTCTCGGTAACAGCTTTTTGATGTTTTCTGGGTTTACATATGGAGCAGAGAAGATGCTAACGTAGGAGTTACATAAGAGAAGTCAGAGCAAGCCTGCTTTGCATGCCATTGCCTGCAGCTTTCTCATGTCCTGTGGTGACTCAGACAGTGCTGTAAGCTCCGTGGAGGGACAGTCTCAACTTTTTACCTCTACATTTTCATATCATTGTGTAACAAGTTAGTCATCTGACTCAGGCACTGGCTGAAGTCCTTATTTCAAAGCACTTATTTTTCTGGTCTTACATTAAGACCTGGCTCTTGCAAGTCATGGTGTGAGGCACAATGGGCTAAGCAAGGCAATATTGTTTCACCTGCATGGGCTTCATCTGACAAAAGTGCTGATTTTCTCAGCTTGTGCCAACAGAGCATTTAAGCATTTACTTGACAGGGAATGGTACTGGCCCTGCTGAATATGATGGGGTTGCTCACATGCATAAGTGTTTATCATATGTTTACGCACCCAAAAAAGCAATGGAGCAGTGCTGGGTACAAGCACAGAATTCCAGCTCCAGCAACAGTAAGCCTTCAGTCCCTTTGCTTATGCTTCATTACTTACTCATGTGTCTTAAAGACTCACAGATAAGGAGCAGAGCATCTTAAGAGATATCCTCCTCTCCTGATAATGCATTCTCCTTTTAGGTCACAGAAATCATTCTGCAGCTACAAAGAAATGCTTATGAATGCAGGATCCTCTAGTGCAACATTTCTTCCTTTGCATTTATTCATACGCTCATTCCTTATCTCAGTAAGGCATTATCAGAGCCAGAAAGTCCCTTCTCCTAAGTCATGTACACAATTGACTAAAATCTGAACTCATAAATTAAGGTTGGAAAAAAAATCCCATGGTTTAATACACTTAGGCTTTTACATTTGTGTTTCTTATATTCCATTTCTCCAAATGCACAGAGATTTTGCACGTCTTTGCATCTCAGACACAAATGCCATTGTGATTTATGGAACCCTGCTTAAATACATCAAACTGCCTGACTGCAACTTGGTACCATTCATACCACCAGCTTTTACTTCTCCAGAGTGTTTCATATTACTTTTTTTTTTTCTGTATTACCTTTATGCCACTTCATCACTACATCAAAACAAAACAAGTGGATTAAAGCAGTTTAATGCATTATGGTTAAATAGTTCTTTCTAAGGGAGAGCAGACCATTCAGTACACCATTAAGACAGAATCCTGATTGTATCTGGTGCAGGCATAAACTATCTTAAATGAATGTTAATAGAGAAGGACAATTATAGTTGACTTCAGAATGCAAACAAGAACTTCAGACACTGATTCCTATCAGCCTATTAGAGCTGGCTGAATTCTGCACACTGTTATAACAGTTGCTTAGCAATGGCAAATAAGCTGTTCTGTCTCTTATCACTAGAGGTATAGTTAGAACAATACCTATTATTGAACTGAATAGGTATGAAATTAGTTTATGTTGTTCCTCTTTTTCAGATGGCACTTGGCAGCAAAGTGAGCTGTTTAGGCTGCCAGCAGAAGCCATGTTGTTTTTTTTTCCTGGAGCTATCTATGGAGATAAAATGAAACTGAGGCTTTGCTGTGGATGTTTATCTGAAAACATCATCAAAAAAACTTTGCTTGTGTTTGTGTGTGCAGGAAGAAAGAGGTTCTCCTTCAAATGTCTTCTTTGAGTTAATTTCCAGGGATGAGACACTAACAACTACAGCCTATTCAAAAAGCAACTGCAGCAATACTGCATTGCAATGGCACCTCCTCCCTCCTTCCCTCACAGGCACCTCTGATGAAATACCTCAGCTCTGATCTGGGGAAACATACTGGAGATTAAGCCACTAAA